CTTCAGCTATAATGGTCACTAGACGAGTAGTCGTTAATATAACTAATGAAGATGGTGTCTCTGAAACTTTTACCTTCTTTCTATCAAAATCTTTTCACAACAAATTGTCCTGTAAAATTTAACAAACTTTATTTATTATTTAGCACAAAGCTTTCTTTTCAAGTTTAGCAAAGCCTACAAGTTGCGCCATGTAGATGTCTTCCTTAAGATCACCACGAAGAAATATATTTTGATGTCCTTTTATTATATATATAAATCTTCTTTTGCTACAATGATTAGAATTAGATGAATGGTCGCTAGTTTAACATTTAAAGATAGTATCTCCTTAAAGTTTATACCTTCTTTTTGTTGAAACCCCTTTATAATAGCATTGAATCTTTTGGCTCTTGTGTGTTATTTCGCTATGCATATCCATTTCTTTTGTGACACCTTACTACCTTGGGGTTGCTTGGTCGATATCCAAGTGTTGCTCTTATAAAAGATTACAACATTGTTTTTTCAAGGAAAGCTTTCGTTGATAGAATTATTTACCAAAATGACTTCATTATAGTACTCAAACTCTACTTGTGAGTTCATTATGACATTTTAAATTGGGGCATAGATATGTTAAACTCAAACTACTTCTAAGTTTCCTGCAATATTTCCTTACGCTGCTTTTGAGTTTCCTATAATATTTCCCATCTTCGTTCTGAGACATGCAATTGTTCTAGTTCAACATGCTCAAGTAGCGGCATGTTTTGCAACAGTACTTGATATGTCTATGTATAATATAGATCCCTGGAAGATAATATTTCTACTCTTGACAATCCTTTAACTTTCATAATCTCAAGCTCTATGACTAAACTAATCTCCATCGTATCAAATGAAATAACACTTCTTAGATTTAAGTCAAGCTTATCATTGGCGACCTGATCAACAAAAATATATTATAGGTAATCGAAAAAATTCAAATGTGGCAAACATACATCACTTTCCTAACCAGGCTTCTTCAAGAATCCCAAATTTGAGTGTAGCTAATGATCCTTCATTTAACAAATATTTTTTGTGTTCACTACATTCACACAAAAGGCCCAAATGCACTCTCATGCCCGTTGCATGTTCATTGAAACAACTATTCATTTTATCAATCACTCCATTTTGTTGTAGAATTCTTGTGAATATTCTCTACATGTAAATCCTGGGAGGTACGATATATCTTTTCAATTATGTGGAGTTATAATCCCTACCATTGTTTGATAAGCACCAATTCATTTTTTTCTCAAGTTTCACTCTCCACTAGACTTTTTCACTTCATAAAAGTTGAGAAAACATGGGTTTTATTTTTGATAAAATAAAACCATACATTCCTAGTGTTGCCATCATCAAAAATAAAACCATACATTCCTAATGTTGCCATCATTGAAGGTGATGCAGTACAATGATATTGCTAGCCAAGTAATGTGGATAGCCCAATTTGTGTGCACCAACTTTGGCCTTTTGTTCTTTAGTTCTTCCGCAATCTTAGAGCAACCAATCTTTGATTAGCAAAGATGCAATCTTCCCATAAGGTGGATTCAACAAACTTTCAAATTTATTGTTGTAGTGAAGAATCTTCAGGCTTTCTCACTCCTATGACTTAGTCATCGGTGCCATAAATTTGAATCTCCCCCTATATTGGTAGTAACTCATATTATTCTTATGCTGGTGGTGTTGTAGAGTATCAAACAATCACCAAGACATACTTCATCACTTTCCAAGTATCAATGTTGAAAGTAGAATGACATCCTTTCACAAATAATTGTCCAATAAAGATCAAGTTTCTCCATGACCCAAGGATTTGCTTAACTTTGTTAGCTCCTAAGATTTTCTTTAGTTGTCTTGATCATCACATTTCCAATGCTCATAAAAATCAAGGGTTCATCAGCAACAAATACCTTGCCACAAGCATATGCAATAGTTTATGATTAAATATTTTTTTAAGAAAAATGCAAAATCGCAAATGAGTTAAATATCCATTTTTCCATTGGATTGTTTGTGCTAAGCATTAAAGCATCATAAATATATTCTAAAATGGTGTCCATCAACTCTTCATTTGGCTATTGGCATCATTCAAGTTGCTTCTTCCTACCTATGATGCACCGACACGGACACGACATGACACGGACACGGGACATGGCAATTTTTAAAAATATAGGACACGGGTGCGACGTGGACACAGCATTATAATTTTTTGATATAATATATAGAAATTAAGGTGACATTATAGTAAAAATGACAAGCAATCAACTGGGACGTAGTAATCTTAGCCTCTTAGGACACATTTTTATTCCATGGCCAGAAATTTTAAGTAGATGTGCATTCACCCTAGAATAAGATCCTTTGTAGGTGCCACCACAATAATTGCATTTGAATAACATATTCCCTCCTCCTTCAAATGTTTTTCCTAACTTTGTAACATAAATTCATAACGGCTTATCAGTTTCTACAGATGGCTCTTTTGAGCATTCACCTAATCCACTCCCGCTAGCAGCAGAGCTCATTTTGCTAACAAACCAATCATACATATGAATACATCAAATAAAATTGATATGAAGTGAAATCAAAATATCCCAATAATAAGCAACATGAATACAACAATATACCGGTCTGCCGGGGGTCCAAGGGGGCGCTGCCCCCTGGCGGGGCTCGACCTGCCCGGTAAGGTCGCGGGGTCAAGGGACAGCGCCCCTGTGGAGGTTTTCGGGGGTAGCACCCCCGGAACAAAAGTTTATTGTAAGAGTAATTTTGAAATTTTGTTTGTTTTTAAAGTTCGTAAGTTGTTTGTATTGGAAGATATCGAGTGGTACCGAGCATGTACCTAGCGGTACCGAGCATGTACCTAGCAGTACCGAGCATATATTGAGCAGTACCGAGCAGGTACTGAGAGGTACCGAGCATGTACCTAGCGATACCTCATTTAATAACCGGACACACGTGTCCGATTTTATTTTTAATTTTTTTAAATTGCGACACTCCAATGCCGTGTCCGACGCGTGTCCGTGTCCGACACTGCATACCCTCTTTAAGCGGAGTGTCGGTGCATCATAGCTTCCTACAATCTTTCATTATGTGATTAGGCTTGTCATAGTACCAGCATCCACTCGAGTGACCTCGAGACCTTCTAATGATGTAATTTGATTATTTGTTCTTGGAACCAGATTTCGATTTGCATCTTTCTTTTTTGTTGCCTTATTTTTATACATGTTTCTACCATCAACATTTAAAACAAAAGATGACGTACATTTCTCTTTCTTGAATCATCTAATATCTAGATTAAGAATAAGATTTCTGATATCACTGAGCTTCATGGCATGCAATCTATAGGAACTACTTAACAGCTATTATAAGATTGTCCTAGCTCTCAAGTAACAATGAAAGCAAGCTCATGACTCGGATCCATCGTCCAACTAGATGTTCATGGAGCTAAACTCTCTCGATATTAAGCTAGACTCATTTTGTGATCGATGACCTTCTAACATCCTAAGATTAAAAAGTAAGTACATTACGTATACATTGTTGACTACAAATGATATTTCACACACTTGGAGAGCGCCTTCATGACCCCCATTGTAGCAGTCTCATTAAGGGCGTTTTAGGAAATATTCATAATAATGGATAAAGACCAGGCTCAAAAGCATATCTACCCATCAACCCACATGACACAATCGACCACGGCTTTACTATATTTAGTGATTGATGAAGCTTTCTCTGATACAAATATCCAATACCCGAAGTTCAAAACAATAAACTTTGACAATTTTGATATTTCTATCCTCTATGCTTGAATTTGAAAGTTACCAAAACAAAGTTCTGATAATTCATATTAGAATTGCAACAAAACTACAGACAAAAGCTGAATGAAGACGAAAGAATAAACACACTTGGGATCACAAACACAAGAAAGAATTTTATATGGTTCAATGAGATCCTTATGTTTCCACAGCTAAAAAAAATTGAATATTCATTAAGCTTAAAAAAACAATACTAAAAAATTTCTCTTCATATAAAGTTGAAAATAATAATAGATACAACCCTTTCTCTAAGCTAGTGATTAATAAGGAATGCAATAAACTATTGTGAAGACTATAGTTGCATGTGGAGAAGAAGATTTTACTATTATTACTCTCTTTTCTTCCCTATTTTGAGAGATTCTTCCTATGTGGATGAAAGTATGTCCTTTTAGTGGAAATCAAAGGAACAACAAATCTTTCTTCTTGAAGGAGAAAACAACCCTACTAAAAACAACTGAAAAACTCCTATCTTCTCCCTCGATTGCCATTCACTCTCTAAATCTCCCTCCCCATCTCTGTTTGCTTGTGGTTGACAAACCATTTCATCTAAGGCTTTATTTATAGCAGCAATAAGGCATCAATTTGGAGACATAATTATTTTAAAATTTTTATATGATCTCTTAAGATCAACAAAAGATCTCACAGGCCACAAAAAAGATTTAAACATGCATATGAAAACCTCAATCCAATATTTGAATAGATAGTACACCTCAATCATATCGTCTAAAGATTTGATGGCAGAAAATTTAACAAGAATCAATATCTACACAATAATATTATATTTAAAAAAAATTAATAGTTCCTAGAGCACAAGCTTTAAAACAAGAAGCATGGTGCGGTATAAACCTAGTCATTTTGAAAGTTTTAATTCAACTATTGAACTTCCATTGGACTCATTTAACTTGTATGTTGGTCCACACTCCACATGGTCAATTGGATGATTTCAAATGTAACAAAACTGCATGTTTTCTTTCCTTTGGGGATTAATCAGCGCATCGAATGAATGAGCTTTCCTTCCAGATCATCTCTTTTTTAACATTAAGCATGACGCATGATGCAAATCTTTTCAATCCACACTATAGCCAACATATGAATTACTCCCTATCATCAAATTTCCTATATGGCATTAAATTATAAATCATATTGACTAAGATTGATCATGCAAAATAGATTGTGAGGAATTATTCAAACCTGAAGAACCCAATGGGCACAGCTCAAGAACCTAGCAATTCCCAATGCAAATACATAATGGGCAGTAAAGGGTTCAACAATCTGAGCATAAAGAAACAAAAAATGCTTCAGGAGGAATCGGGCATCATAGCAAAATTACCAAAATAAGCACTAATCACATCAAAACTTTTACCTTTGTGTTTTGCATCAATCTCAATTGTGGCAACACTGAAGCAGCTTCTAGGTAAACACAAAAAGCCCAGAAAATCCTGTTCACAATGTTGTGCGAAGTGGTTGGATGAACTGCCAAGGCCAGTACGACACAAGGCAGCACCTACACATTTATACCAAGTAAGAAAAGCTATATTTCAGGTCAGTTAGCTGCAAGGAAACAACTGAGATAAGGTTACTATTTTGAAATGTCTACCCAGAATTCTGCTAAGAGTTTAACAATGGGGCACAAGTTCACATCCAAGCAGCTCTCAACTTATTTCATGATCAGCCACTTTCATCAGGACAAGAAAAAAGCATGTATTAACTTATAATTGGAGTAATAACAACTGAAAAGAAATGTGTCAATCGTTGGGAAAAGCATTGGTTTATTGCATGAAGAGTATACCAGTTCCATCATACTATTTTGATGTCAGCACCAGCAGTGACAAAAAAAACTAAATGGTAATTCAAAGGGCAATTAAAAACTACGTAGAAACACTATAGAATAGAATTCCACCCCTTTTAATGCGAGTAGCTAGTCCTATATGGCATTAAGATATTTGAAACTGTACTATCAAATCACAAAACAGACTTAATATATCTTAAGTGAACTAAAAAGTAATAACAGCTGTAACTTATTAAAGGTATCGAAATTTCTTAAAAAAACTATATTTGGCTCCTTTGCGAGGACGATAAGTTTTAAAACTTTCATAAACCAGTCCCCAAGTGTTTTACCTTTGTGTAATCAAGAAAAATCTAAAATCTCGAACAACAGTACATAAGTAGAGATGATCCAAACGCTAGTAATTTACTAAGGTTGAGAAGCTGATGAAATTGCATGATTGCATCAACCCTAGAAGATTCACTAAAATTTTACTTAAGCCTCGTGATATTAATGGTGTTTTGTGAAACCCTAGTAATTTTACAAAGTTTATATCGTCTTACCAAGAGTATTTTTGGTTAATCAAAAGCTAGCAGCCTGTAGAATCCCAGCTTAGGATCCTGCCAACAATATACCAACACTAGCAGGTCTCTCATCAATGCCAACACAAGCGACAATGGATGAAGACAAATAATTGGGAATAACAGGGTTAAAAAAAGATTGATTTATTCAATAGTTAAGTGTCCTTGTTTATTCAATAGTTAAGTGTCCTCAAGACTGAAAATTGGCATCCCTCTCATAAAGGTGCAAGTTACGATGGAAATAACACAAATTTCCAACAAAAATAAAGCAAGAGAAAAAGTTTTGAGTGGCAGCTCCAATGAATTGTAAATACTTCCTATAAATAAAACAAGTTCAAGAAGATTTAGAGAAAAAATGCTCAATAAGCCGTTCAAAATGTCAATTTTATCCATTGCATAGCATGTTTCACGAACAGAAACATGCTTCAGGGGTTCCAAAAAGCCCATCTGAAAAACGGCACCAATCAAAGTCAAATGATGGTAAATGTAATCCTTTGTGAAAGGCAAAAAAAAAGAAAAGGTTCATGACTAATAGCCAAACCTGGTTTAAATAATGTAAGAAAAATAAAATCAGGATGCCAACTATGCATTAGCTAACTAACATATTTAGTTAAAAATGAGCATGTTAAAGCTTATTACACATCTGATTCGCTCATTGCGTGTATTTTTAAAAGATGAAAAATAAACTCCTTCAAGAGCTAATTTTGAATGCAAATTTGTAGTTTAAAATCACTATTGATTCAAAACATGATACGAGGATTGTGAAAAAAAAATTGCCATATACATGTTACATGGATACAAAAAAAGTCCATCCCCATAAACATGCTACATGTATACAGAAAAGGCCATCCGAAAAGTGCAACTACATTGTAAAATTGGAGAAATTAAAACAAGAATTTTGCAGGGTGATGATTATGGAAGAAAATCAATACTGACCACATAGTAAGTTGCGAAGTTGTCCTTATCCTCCATGTAACTAGACTTTAACTTAAAACGGATCATGTAGATAACCCACAACGTCGTGACTAAAGTGGCAGAGTCCAATAGTGTGTGTATATCATACTCCATAACAAAACTGCAGTAAAGTCTAACAGCCAAAAATAAAGCTGTCAATTCCTGTGACTTCAGTGAAAGCCCTGCACAAAAGCAATAGTTCAACATCAATCCAAATTATAATTCAAAATCATTAAGGAAAATCAGTATAACTGAAGAACAAAAAGAAAGAAGAGATAAATGAAAATGTGCATATGTGGTGCAGAATAGGTAAGAGATTAGTGTTGTCTCCCGGATAAAGTTAAATTTCTCAATAACAAAAAGACCTGACATGGGATGGTCTAATATCCAGGTCAAAAGGTATGGATGGTGCCAGTACTAGCGCGCGCACAGAGAGAGAGATCATAGACTGTGTTGTAGATATATTAAAGTGAAGTTGTGATTACTATTAAAAAAATCTGGGGATATGTAGTCAGCTTAGCCAACTTCAATCCTAACCGAAGTTTCAAAATTAAGCAGAGACCAGGTGACTGTAAAGATCAAACTATTCATCTCATTTTGCTTTAGAAACTTTGTGTACTTAGAAGAAAAGTCTAACATCTTTTTTTATTTCTATGGCATCATATAGAGAATGCATGCAATGCAATCACAAAATGAAGAAAACTAAAAATAGTAATGCAATAAGAATGCATCAAAGTGTTACCCCTTTCTTTATTAGAAAAGCTTCTTCCACTATAAGATCACTTCCGTAGGAGGAAAGTTCAAAGGGGCGATGTATACAGGTGTAAAAAACATAAATGGAGAGAGCAAGCAGGGAAAAAAAGGAAGGATAAGCTAGAAACATATTGACAAATTCCTACATCTCGATCTAGTATTGGGCTCTGAAAATAGGAACCCCAATTCTTGTCTAGCCAAGAGACGTGAAAAATAAAAATATAATAAAATAAAAACAAATAAGATAACAAAAAAACTTGTCGTTGCCAGGTCCAAGTCCTGGATGAAAAAAGTGGACGGTTGTGTTAGGTAGTAGAAAAGCCAGTGTAAAACTTGTCCAACAATAATGTCATGAATCCTTTAATGAATCCTTTAAGAAATTGTGTTAAGATAACAAAAAAACAACTCGGAAGCAGGAAGCCTTTGTTTGATGCATTCAAACGAAGAAACACCCCATGAACAAAAACATAAAAGCATATACAGCCTCAGCGTAAAGACAAACGTAAATTCGGCTCACTTATCAGAAAATAGATCTCAGTTCACTACATCTCCTAATCAGATGTAGAGACATGCCCTTTGACCCTTTCTCCTATTCATCTCTTCTAAATCAAGCATCAAGCTGTCCACACCAAATTACCAAAAAGTACACAGATGTCCAAAATCAAACAATTTAGCTCATTAAAAAACTAGGGCATCAAGTAATAAGGATGCAGGGGTAAGACGGTGAGCAATCAAACAAACCGGCGCAGGTTTTTTCTTTGGTGAGCTTGTAGATGAGAACGGAGATGCCGATGGCGTGAACCGCCTCCGCTGCAACGAATAGGTTATCATGGTCATGAACAACGAATCTGAGAAAGACGAGGGCCGCCATCCCGGCCACAACACAGAGGAAAGCCTTAACTTTCGGCGGCTGCCGCCGCACCCATTCGGCCACTACGCTTATCGGCCGCCTCGAGCCCATCCTATCCGCAGCCTAATTCAATTCCAAAGTGATTCTATAAAAAAGACCGCAAGAATACGCTAAGGAGGAAGACAGCGTCTTTCTTCCGCCGCGAAGATCGACTGGGAAGGGATCAAACCAGTGAATTTTCCGGTTAGGGATTGGAGGAGGTAGAGCTCGGAGCTTTTGGGTTTGGTGTTCCCCTAATTTATATGGTGCGGATGGCGACTGGCACTTTCGTTATGCTGGTTTAGAAGCATACGCATGCATGTGTATCTCCTTAGGAAAAAAAAGATTTATATACATATCATTTTATTTTATATTATTTATATATTAAATATTTAATATATTAATATTATATGTATATCATCTGGTACAAACGAAATGGATATGGGTCCAAATGTATTGACCCTAATCGGACTCAATTATGTAAACATGTCAAAATTTCAGACCTCAACTTGATCCATCAAGTTACCAGGTTGACTCGACCCAAACGCTTTTGCTTGCGGGTGAAGGGGTCACGAGCGAGCGAGCTAGGCCAGGTGCGGAAGAGGGGGAGTGGAATCGGTGTGGGATCAGATTCAGTTGTATGGGTACAAACACATCATGCCAGCTTGGACGCAGGAGTGGATTCAGTTGTGGACGCATGCGCAAGACTGCAGGAGGCCGAGAACGCCCAACACCCTGCGCTGGTTGGTCGTGCTTGCTGTCATCAGCACAGGAGAGCTATCGTGAGTGCTACAACAAGAGGTCATCAGTGGGGATCATGGTCAATTCGGGATTTTTAACTAGATTTCTTTTTTTATTTATATCTTTTCAGCTCCACCGGCCCTGCGATGCTCTAGAATCTAAATTAAAAGAATTTTTCTTTTATCTATTAATGAACAACACCATAGCTATTTAATATCATGTATCAATAATAAACAACAAAATAGATTCTATAATTTAAAACTTCAATGTACACATCTGTATTCATTCCCAAAAATCATATACATTGTTTAAGGCTATAACAAAAAGAAATAGAACCTGACCAGCCTCACACTTTTGCTCCCCTGCCTTTGTCTGAAATCATTTAACCACATATAATGAGCTTAAAAAGTCAAACAGGTTACCAAAACCTACAACTGAATTCAAAGCATGGTAAATGAGCAATATGCTTATCAACAGTTAAATCGTAGCAGTTACATTCATATGATCATTGAATTAGTGTAGAAATAGTAAATCTCAAATGCAGTAGTAGTAGAATCTGTAAACAATAAACTACTACGGTACAAAAGTCAGTAAAGTAGTAAACTAATGCGAGTGTCAAATCTATAAAGCAATCATCATATCAGTAATACCAATAATACATAAATAATATAAAGCATTAAATCAAAATATTATTATATACTATCGAAATCAAATCAATGAAATAAAATTATATAGGAATGTACATGTTATCCAGGCAATTCATATCACGTGCTCAGTATATCACATGCATAATATCAATACAGTGAATCAATAGTATCAAATAGTGTCAGTATCTATAGCAGTAATAGTGAAGAGGTAGAAGCAATAAGATAATGCGATAACAGTAAATACGTGCAGTACTCATAAATCCATACAATAATAAAAACAATGCCTCAGAAATATGCATTTGAGTAGTCACACTAAACAAGTAGAAGCCCTGGATATCACGATGTTTTTTAGTGTTAATATCAGTGTTAGTAAACTGTTGGCTCAGTAAATAGAGTTGTCACTCATTTCCCGATGTCATAATAATGATCTCCTTATAACTCTCAATCAATGTATCACGTGAATTAGTATAAGATAATATCAAATCACAATATTTAAAGAAAAGCCCATTAGCCCACCATCCGTACAGGTCAATCAGTCTACAACCAACGGGTCAAGCAGTCTTTACTTGTTTGATTCATACACGCATATTATTATCATAAAATTATAATAATAATAGCGATAATCAATTACTCAAGCACACATTCACATCCATTTTCAATGTGTTGCAACAAATAATGCATAAATAAGCTTAATAAAGAATATGCCTAAAATGCCATAACGGTATACAACAAAGAATCCTACTATGCAAAATGCACATTTTCAAAAAATTACCAAAATATTAGGAATTATATTAAATGATGTTTAAAGACTTTTATTATACTACACCACTATTTTTAGACATCAGAATAAATTTTGGGTTAGACAAAAATCACTGTATTTTTAAAATCACCGGGTAAAAATTATGAAATAAATATTTAAAATGCTTATAATCATAATCTCTATAACATATAAAAAGATAGGACGTGAAAGTTTTATCAATTTAAAGTTATTCATATTTTTCGGTAACGAAACCACAAATTTGAGCGAAAAAATATCAAAAATACAAAATCTTTGAAATCAGAAATATAATATGAATTTCTTACAACGAGACAAACAAATCTCCCAACCGTGTCGACGAACGAAAATCGCTTCGCGAACTTCAAATCTCAATTTTGTTTTTTCTCTCTCCTCTAAATTCTCTCTTATTTCCTTATGTCATATCTCTGTTGCCAAAGTAATGAGGAGAAAAAGGGATTTTATTAAATCTTAGTGCTTTAAGATATTTTTGAATAAAATATAATATAATTATTTAATATAAAAGTATAATTTAATCAGTTTCTTTAAGATAAAATTTAAAAAAATCATATTAGTACTCAGAAAATTACAGAAAAATATTCATAAAATAAATCATGTTATTTAAAAAAATATTGATGAAATCAATTTGCAAAATGGAGACCAGAAGGTCCCGAAATCCTCACTTGTACCGACATGTACAAATTCCTTAAGGATATTCACCGATGCCTAAAAATTACGAAAAAATTCGTGTAAGTAAAATACTATGATCAAAATACTATGGCGGAGATGATTTACGATTTCGAGTTATAACAACTCCATAAAAAATAGTAAAATCAAAATACGGGCTATTACAAGCCTAACCCAACCCACAATTTTATACTTTTTAAAAAAGGGGTTTATGGTTGCCACTCCATTTTAAGAAAAAAACCGTGAAATTTCCAATTCAAAATATTTAGGACTTCTGATATAGTTCAGAAAGAAAAAAAATGAGAAACAATGTTGCTATATTTGTGGAGATGGAATGCTCACAGCACACAAATGATGAAATGAGGTAAGGAAACATTCAAAAATCGAAAGTTAATTTGGTTGGAACTGCTGAGGGTTTTAACTTATAGATAAATTTCTACCTCATCCTAAGATGTTTTAAGAATTTTCAATGTTTTATAATTTTTCAAAGTTTTAAAACAAAGCTGTGTAGAAAAAAACACATCAATGCTCAGTTCAAGCGCATACAAGGGCGTAAAAAAAAAATACTACACATTTGCTACTGAGCTTTCACTATAGATTGCAACTGTGCTATTGTTGTGCTTTTGCGGCGCCATCACTGTTATTTTCCTGCACTTAGGTTATGCTTTCACTATGTTTTTGATAATATTTCACTACACTTTTGAGAAGGTTTAAATATGGTTTAACTACGTGTTCACTGTTCTTTGCAATGAATCAAGTGTGCAACAAAAGCGTAGTGAAAGCGTAGCTAAAGAACAATAAAAATGCAACAAGGGCGCATTAAAAGCACAGTGAAATGATAGAACTAAAGATCAATTGCTTTGTATTAAGTTTTCACTGCACTTTTGTTCCACTTTCGTTGTGCTTTTCTTCATATTACAGGTTGTGTATAAAGATGAGAAAGAAGCATACGATGCTTATTGCAATTATGCCCATAATATTGGATTTAGTGAGCGCAAGGATCTTCACACTTTCTATCCAAATTCTAAAAAGATATTATTCAAGGACTTTATCTATTCAAAACCTGGTTTCAAGAAGAGAATTAATCTAAATTCTCGAACAAAATATAAAAAATCAGAGATAAGAATGGGTTGTCTATTTTTTGTTAGGTTTGCAGTTAATGAAGCTGAAAATTGGAATGTGAAAAAATTTATTATATCACACAATTATGAATTGGCTAGGCCAGAAAACTGACTCCTCCTGAGATCATGTAGGAATATTGATGATGAGAAAGTTTTAGATCTGAAAATAATGGCAGAAGTCGGAAGAAGAACCATTGATGCATTTTATCAAGAATGTTGGATTATTTTAAGAGGGATGCATACAACTTTATTCATAAGGGGACAATAACAAAGATTAAATTTGGTGACACAAATTATTTGATTCAATTATTTAAATATTGTTTAAGTTCATGACAACATGTTCGCATGGGACATCCAAATTAATATATTGTTATTTTTTTGGATTAATGGGATGTGTAGGATAAATTATAACTGTTTTAGAGATGTGACAATTTTTTATACTAATTATAAGTTAAATAAATATAATTTAGTTTGTACACCGTTTATCAGTGTTAATAATCATTGACAGAAAATTTTGTTAGGGGAGATCTTCATATCAAAGGAAACAATTGAATTATTTACATGTTTGTTTATAATATTTATACAAATAATGAGTGATAAACATCCAATGACAATAATTACTAATCGAGACCAACAATGATTAGGGTCATAGAAGTTACATTACCTCACACTCGTCATAGACTATGCCACTGTCACATCTCTAAAAATGTTTCATCAAAAGTTGGGTGCTTCAATAACAGCAACAAAGACAGATGACTCTTTTATAAGTGTTTGAGCAAGTATGACTATGAGGAGTTTGAGAAAATATGGACTAAAATGATCACAGAAGGGAACCTCCATAATCATGATTGGTTGGGGGATCTTTATATGATAATGAATAAGTGGTCAATAGCATTTAATAAAAATTATTTTAACGTTGACATTTGTTGACTATTAAAAAATAGAATAAAAAAAATTTAAGCAACCGACATATCGGACCCACACCACGAAGCGAAGCGATTGTTCACTAAACAACCGCATGATCATCTCTTAAAAATGACGGCCAAAGAACAAAGAGTGAGATTCACACTCAATCGTTCATTTTTCTGCTCTTTGGTTAGTGTTCGGTTTGGCCATTTCGGCCATGCAGAGATTCGCACGTCGCTATTTTCGGCTCCTCCATTGTTGCCCGACTTTGTCGCTTTATAGAAGCGTCTAGGGTTCGCCTTTCATCTTCTCTTTTCATCGTCACTTTTCGGCTACGTTGATTTACAAGAGGGTAGAGAGTGCACGGTCGCTCCTTCCGCTCCTCATGGCTATCCGACTTCGTTACTTTTCCTGAGGCAGAGATTGCACACGTCGCTTCT